CCTCCTCCGACCGAGACAACGACTGCCACGACCACTGCTACCGCGGCAGCCAAGCCCCGGCCACGTAAGTGACATCACTTCCTCTTTCCCTCTCCTTCCAGAGACCCCACAGTCACGAGCTAACGTGTGTGTGTGTGTGTGTGTGTGTGTGTGTGTGTGTGTGTGTGTGTGTGCGTGTGCAGGTGCTGCAGTCCAGAACAGTGTGGTGAGTACTCGCCGTTCACTGAAACACTTCCTGCCTGATCGCTGTTGTTTGACTCTTCACTGTGTGCTGTGTTTCAGAGTCTTCCTCAGAGTTCCTTCAGCAGCTTGGACCCATCGGCCTTCCTCATGACATCAACGTCCAATCACTGTTTGACCCCACAGGTACCGCCTCCTCCTCCTCCGCCTCCTGTTGTCTCTGTGTGTGTGTGTGTTAACCCTCCTCTGTGTGTGTGTGCAGGTCAGTGCTGTGCTCACCTGCAGTGTGCCACTTGGTCAGAGGGGGTGTGTCGAGGCGAGGGACAATCACTGCTCTACGTGGACAAAGCCATCGACACAGGAAGCACACAGGTGGGTTTTCACGGCGTCCGGTCAGTAGCCCCTCCTCCTCGTGTAGCTCAGGTAGATGTGCATCAGCTGAAGCGCTCGGTTCCTGGGTCTGTGCGTCAGACTGAAATAAAAACCCACAGTTTCCTCCCTAAACCATCTGTCTCACCTGTGCAGGTGTGCGTGTTCTGCCGGCAGCTCGGAGCCTCGCTGCGTTGTCAGGAGATGGACTGTGGGCGGTGCTACCACTTCCCCTGCGCTGCTGCTGCCGGAGCCCACCTGGACTGGAACCAGAGGCGCACACTGTGTACACGACACGCACACGCAGGTAAGAGGCGCTGACCGAAGCAGGCGTGAGGTTGTGATGTCATAACGTGACGTGATCATGTCTCCTCAGGGTCCTCGCCACCCTGCGCTCTGTGCTCTGGCGGCGGTGAGCTTGGCAGCCTGTTAATGTGCTGTTGTTGTGGTAACCGTTACCATGGCAGCTGCGTGGACCCCTCTGTGGCCCCCTCCCCATTCTGCCGGGCCGGCTGGCAGTGTCCTCGGTGTCGAGTGTGTCAGAGCTGCAGGTAACACACACGCAGAGTTATTGACTGGGGTGAGCAGGTATTTGAAGATGGAGTAAAGAGGGCGTGTCCTCAGTGTGAACCTCCACCTGTGCTCTCTGTGTGTCAGGCTGCAGGGCGACGAAGCTGCGTTACTGGTGTGCGAGCGCTGCGATAAAGCCTACCACGCACACTGTCTCACACCACCTCTGGATCACACGCCGAGCACCGGCTGGAGCTGCAAGGTGAGATAAACACACACGTACACACGCTGCTGTGTTGAACTGTGGATGACCTCACAAACCCCTCCCACCCCTCATCTTCTCCAGAACTGCAGAGTCTG